TCATCCACATAGCTAAACATGTCTTCCAATCTCCAGGCAGTGTGGAAAGAGATCCTGTCCCAAGCCTCCACCAGGGCATCAATATCATTCTTGTCACCCCTCACAACAAACCACCACTTACCCACCGAACCATTTGCATTCATTTTGTACTTTCTTTTGACTGAGAGACGATCAGCAAGCGACTCAGATGTTGTTCTCTTGACAACATTCAAGATGGCAGCCGAGGTTGTAGAGCACAGAGTGCCCCATATCTTCCTTGAATTTTCTAGCCGAATTTTGCCCATGACACCTTTCCTGGATACTCCACCAACACCATCAACCCTGTCTCCACCAACAACCCTACCTTTCCCACCCACATTACCACAAGCACTCAAGTTGACATGATTTTCAGTGCTACCCAGCCTTTCACCTGCCCCACCATCCACCCTACCTCTCCCTTGACCACCATGCCCACCTCTTCCCCCTCTACCGACTCCCCTCCTCCCCTGCCTACCCCCAACACCACCTCCACCACCACCTCTAGAACTGAGAGACCCACTAGGCTCAAGGGGAGGTGCAGATTTTGGGTTTTTCCCTTGAAGTGACTGATGATCCCCTTTCAATCTCTTGACTTCTGCCTTTAGGCATAGAACCTCCTCCTTCAACAGAGCAATGCTAGACTTCAGAGTAGAGACCTCCTGTTCGTAGACAGACTGATAACACATCGGACAGATGAAGGGCTGAGACGGAGAAGCAGCCAGGGAACGATAATGTTTCAGGGGAACACCAGCGCAATAACGGTGACACCACTGCTTGCAGCTACCTTCACAGAACAGAGAGTCTTCTTTTCCATCGACAATCTTTTGCCAGCAGATCGCGCAGAGCTCCGTCTTTGCCGTTGCGGCAGCAGCAGGGGCAGCGACGGTCGCGGACGCCAAGCTCGTCGTCTTCGCCGAGTGCGTCGTCACTGCCGTGGAAGCAGTGCAGGGCGTTGAAGCAACCGGTCCTCCAGAAGGCACAGCAACTGCTGCAGCGTGCTCCGCAGGGACTGTATTGACAGAAGTAGGAGTACCTGCACCGTCATTCTTTTTCGCTAGCTTAGATGATCTTGCTGTAGATTTCGATTGCCTCAGGTTCGACTTTGATATCTTAGGAGGCATCTCCGACACGAGGCTACTTCTCCAGTTACAGACAAGTTTTGCAAGAGTTGGCTCGGATGATGGCTGTGTGTGGTTGCAAGGGCTTGGGGTAGCCAAACCAGCACTCCTGCTTGCCATGCTTGGTGCGGAGGCAGTAGGAGGCAGAGCAGCGAGTGTGTCTCTGGCAGGTGGCCACCAGATGAGCCAGATCCTGGTCAAAGTCCTGGATGGCCTTGTTGCAGATGTGGAGATCAAACTTCTGAGCTTGTGCATCAGCAATGTTGCTGCCGTCTGGGAGGAGAGCAAGGTTGGCGGTGGTGATCTCTGTGTGGAGTGCTTCACTGGCACCATTGCAAAGCTTCTCCACATCTGGTATATCGGGTAACCAGGCCAGACCATGGACGTGAGGGCTGCTTCGGTGCTGCCACTCAAACCGGTTCCAGTAGTCCGTGGCTCCAAGGACTCCAGTGTAGAAGACCTTCACGAACTCCATGACTCTGTGATAGAAGAACCAGTCTGCGAGGGCTGGGTTCTCTATGACAGCCTTGGCTCTGGCAGTCCTTGAGTCAGGGTTGTCGGGGCAGATGAGTTGAGCCAGCTCTGGCCACTGGAGGTCTTACACGACGTACGACGTACGATGACTGTCGGTCGTGAAAAATCGGCCCGTTGCGACGACTAGGTTGCTCGCCAATTACATAAAACATATATAAGGATGGTATAAAAAGCAAGGAGACAAGACAGGGATGACCTAGTGATTTATGATGCAGTAGTACAATGGATGATGGCTACATACTTGGAATTAACATCAATTGCTTGTGTAAAATGTCCTCCACACAAGCACTGTATTGTCGCGAAGAATCAGTGTGCTCCCTTTGTATGATGCACAGCTATGATTTATTTCATAAGCACATGAGACAGGTAATGCCCTCTCATTGGTTTTCATTTGTGATTGCATTGTGTGAAGTCTAAGACTTCTAAAATTTGCTCAACTCACCAGTTTTACAATGCTGCGTTCTTGGCCATCTACAGAATCCCTTTATCATTGTACCATTTACTAAACAAACTCACGTCAGTGAGTAAAAGTGGTGACAATATAGGCCTTGTGTGTAAGATACTTTACACAAGCAGCTAAGCTATTTTTGTTCTTCTTTTAGCCTCTTTTGTATGCCTCTTGGTTGTTACACTGTTGGTTCTCACTCCTATCTTCTTTGCTTCATTCCGTGTCTCTTCCAACATGCTCTCCTTACCGTCTGTACCATCACCAGCCTCTTCTATCTGAGGTATCAAAGGCTGTGTTGGTCGATGGCCTGAAATCACATTCAGTCAAGTAAAATGTTGAAATTCTTTTCTGTCCTTTCCTGTTTCATTGTTGTTATCTATGATTTTCTTATTTTTTGCTTTGAGTTCATTAATTTTCTCGCGACATTGCACAGCTGTCATTTTCAGGAGGCAGCAAAGACCTGTTGGTTCCTTTTGCATCCTTTCAGTTGTAGTTGCACACTGTCCTCTCCATATCTATGAGTATTTGTGTGTAAGGCTCTGTCCAATCTACTCATTGGCCCATCTGATCCGGTCAACGCCGGCTATCATCCCATGTACGACACAGACAGCTGTGTTGGCAGATGCGCGGCCTTGAACTAGACTTGAACTGCAATTATCACAATAGTGCAGCAGGGCAGACAGCGAATGATACAAAACTCAAGAGCCTTTTATAGTAACCTATGATGTTCTAGAATGTTCTAGCATAGTCTGTAGAGTGCACGTGGTGAGAGTACTGGAAGGTTCTGGGATGTAGTCAACCTGTAAATCTTTCAACAAGCTGCACGATGACTTCACGACCCGGTTCACGCACTCGCGCAAAACTAGCCACACCTACATTTATGCAAGCTGGCATGGAAAGTGTTTACATTTGTTGCATTTACCCGGGGCCAGCACTGCAACGGAAACCGTGCTGGTTTGGCTCGGTATTGTACCGCGCTGTAGCTAGTTGAGCTAGCACGGTTTGTTTTTCTAAGTGAAAACACTCTATTACTCTAGAGGTCTCTTTTGGTCTTCCCAGTCTCCAATGGTCTCTAAAGTTTCCAGATCTCTGCTTGTTTTGAAGTAGAGACCAGACCAGGGACACATAAGAGACCAATAGAGACCAGGAAAACTAAGTGGAGACCAAGAAGACTAGTAAAGATCAGGGACACCAGTGGAGACTATTTGAAACTTAGGAGACTAGGATTAACCGGTGAAGACCAAGAGAGATCTGTGGACCTGAGAGTGGCAAGCGAAGAGCAGTAAAGACTTGGGAGAGAGGTGGAGTCTTGGAACAATTAGGAGAGACTGGGGCGACCAGTGGTGACCAAGGAGACTGAAAAAGAGACTGAGGGAGACCAGTAGAAACCAGGAAGATTGGAGGCAGGGACCAGTTGAGACCAATGAGATTTAAAAGACTAAAGAGACTGGAAAGACTAGTAGAAACCTGTAAAGATCAAGGAGACTAAATGAGACCAGTTGAGATGAGGGAGAGACAATGGAGATAGAACAGAGGGAGACCAGTAGAGACCAGGGGGATTAGCCAGCTCTGATCCCAGTTAAGGAGGAAGAAGGTCTGGAAGATTTGATACACGTCACACTGCATCACACGTACATATATAAATTCTGTGTAGCTTATGGGTGGAATATTAATGGTGACTTCCAGGCCTTATCTTGTGGTTCAATGGTCAGGTGTGTGATTTGTGTGGGGAGGAGAGAGAAGGCTTGAGATTAAGGCTGGTTCCTCCCCCATGCATGCACAATTCTATGAACCTTTTGACCTTTAGATAAGTTGAGTGGGAGCATGGCATAAATTTCTGCAACATATCAGGCCACCATCTTGACACCATTAGACTATAACTCTAGGGTGGACGCATGTGGTACGGGGGGGTGGGTATGTTGGAGGTCAAGGCAGAGTGGGATCAACTGGCTAGAGCCGCCTATCAATTGTCGTAAAAAGTATGCATGATATAAATGATGCTGCAACAGCTTAAGATATTACAAACGCCTGTTGAGAGATTGAGAGGTCAGCATCAGGTGCTCATACATTGTACTTGCCCCTTCAGCACTAACAACATCGATACTGTCTGAGTTGTTTGGATTGTGTTATCGTATCATCGCTACTTTGCAAGACGCTGGCACTTGCCATTAGGACATCCTCTGCAAAATTCTGTCGGCCACTCCACCCGAACCATTACATATTCGTAAAACAGTGTCCACCCCTAAGCTCTAGCATCAAACCGTGTCCACCAGTTGCTCACATGACAAGATATACCAGGTCATACGCGTAATTTGTACTCAGGGACAGGTAGAGCCTGGTAAATTATAGTGTGCTGAGGTAATAATGTTGTCACGTTTTCCAACTGTGTGGTAAAACATCGATTCCTGCTCGGTTATATTACCTCCCTTAATTCACCACATTTTAGTGGAGTTTATTTTGCTCAGTGCTTACAAGGCTGTGTTGTTAACGGAGTACCTGACAACATTTTTAAACTTCATGTTTTTTTCTTAGGCTTTGTTTTATGAGTTTGGGTCCCTTACATTTCTATAGCAGCGGGAAAATGTGCATTAAATAGGAGTCGTGCGTGCTTTCACGCATACATGTGCAATTGCATGTTCTACGGTGTTAGACAATTTGTTGGGAGCTCTGTTCCATGTAAATGTAGCTGACATACCCTAAACAAAACGGGCTCCCAACAAGTTGTCAAACTAACACCGTGCAATGCATGCAACACGCATGTATGTGTGAATGCATGCGTGACCTGCTATATAAGTATTGTCAGGTACACCCCCTTTGTATATAGCAACTACCCATTCTAGCTCGTACGTGTACTCCCTCAAAGAACAACTTCACTCTTACAGGCAAGCCCAGAGAATGTGTATTCACAAGTTGCTCAAAACCTTCTCTACCCCACCACAACATATTCCAAAGTTAGTGGGGGTCACCCGATCTCAATTTTAGAATTAACTGTAAGTTTGATTAGCTTATTAGTGTATCATAACTTTAAAGTTTTGTATTGATATTTAGTGTGATCAACTAAAGGCTTTTCATGCCGAGCATTATCATCCAAGTAATGCAAGGTAAGCAAGATATGTGTGAAAGAGTTACAATATTGCCATAATGGGCAGATTGTTTAGATTCTTTAGGTTTTGTTTTAATGCCTCATTAACTTAGGGTCTGATACATTTGTATACGAGTGGGGGGAAATGTGCATTAAATAGAAGTCGCGCACGCATTGACACATACGTCCACAATTGCGTTTCACACGTTGTATGGTGGTAATTTGACAACATGTCCTGTTACACGCTCGGGGCATGTCAGCTACATTGCATGAAACAGGATATATAGGAATTTTTTTTAACTGTTTGCTCTCCACTCGTTCTCACTGAATCTTTAGCAATATCCTACTAAAGGAAAACCTGAGCACGATTTCACTTTTTGCCATTATGCGCAGTTGCGTTCTTCCTGCCTATATTGTAGCCATTACAAAAAATAGGCGTGGCCATGTTCTGAATTGGCTGTACCCAATTCTCTACACTTCGAATAAAATAACAATAGTTTATGTGGCACTATATATAGGTTAGATGCCGAATCCAGGAAACAACATGTATTAGAGAAACATGGGGGCTGGAGCCATGGGCGTTCGAGCCCAGCGAGGACGCTACTAAGGCCAAGGCACCCTAATGTGTGTAGTTTCCACGGACGGCAATGCGTGTGTGCAATTCAAATTCGGTGCACCCGTAAATCGATGAAAGGAGAGCACTCTGCTAGCCACATGCCCCCGCCTCTTAGTCGGGCCTTGGCTCTATGGAGTATATCCCGGTTTGTGGGGCTGACACTACTGTATGAGCTGCTGTCTCGCTGGGTCTCTAGGATGATGAAAATGGAAAAGATTTTTTGTGTTATAGCAAGTTGTCTGGTATCCCAAAGGGTCTGTATGATGAAAGTAGGGGAGAATTTTTGTGTGATAGCAAGATTCAAATCCCACCAGAGCTTGTTCTTAACTCTGATGAAACTCCATCTACCTTAGTATCAGTTGGTAAGTAAACGGTTGTTTGAAGCAGAGTGTCCTCTGTTTCGATCAAACAATTAACCAATAAATGATGTATTATTACTCCTAACTGTGTCATCACGGTGGCTAATGATTTGCTTCCTATGCGAGTTATTTATAGCGGAGAGACTAAGGCTGGCTTACCTCGTGGATTTAGCTTTCCCTCTGGATTTAGTTTTACTCAAAATCCTAAACATTGGTAAATTGAAGAGGAAACATTACTTGATGATGTCACCATTATTCTTATGTTGTAAAGAACGTGGCCACGCCTTTATCACATGAAGCGCAGCAACTGAGTCACACCCAGAGCTTGAAGTGGAGCAAGTGCCACGGCCGCCGATACCAGCGAAAATACCACGGGAACGCTACACTCGCGTATGCTCAAGATTAGTTCTTGGTTGCTCGAGCCGGGCTGCTGCTACAGGCAACCACGAGCTCATGGTCCTCACAGCTTCTCTCTAGCCTTGGCTTACCTTCCTGGGAGAATAGGTCCTTGCACTGAATTCGTACACGTTGGATATGTCTTTTCGAAGCCACGACACCTTCACAATACTTGTCGCCTAGAAATGAAAGTGCCGCATACTGTTCCACCGACCGCACCCTACAACTTACTTGGGGATATTCATATATCCACTGGTGGGTATGGGTATCTGACGGATGAAGATGACAAAAAAGAAAATAAACAATGTTCTCTGTGGTTGATCTGCTGTTCTAAATGACAACCGAGGTATCACTTAGGCCGAGAGCCAGTCCTGAGGATGTGGGGTTGCTAGCACCATGATCGAGTACCTCTTGGAGGAACGCTGGACTGGATAACCTTCAGTAGCCTGCAGTTTGCAAGAATAGCAGTGGCACACACACCTATTACTGTGCATGCATGCCGAAGGTCCGGAGTTTAGCGCTATAATTTTATGCCATATCGCTAAAATTAGTAATAATAGTAATCTTAAGGTAATGCCTTAAGGCTGCAACATCCCATTTGGCACTAGGGAGCCAAGCCAAGCAAAAACAATTACAAAAGGTTACTTATGTAGCCTATAATAACTGGAAGTGCCATTCTCCAATGCCAAATTTGAGTATTTTCGGAATGTCCTTGTTACACATTACATACGTACTTGTAGTGTACTTTGTTTTGGGGCTGCTATCCCTCACTTGTGTTTACTGGTAATTGAGTTTTACAAGCACACACTCCTGGTAGTATGTACTTCATAGTTGGACCAAATGGCGGGTTGTGCTATCAGGAACAATGGCAGACCAGTTTCTTTATGTGATGGGCACTGATGCTGCACATACCACAACGTAATTAGTGCTTCAGTTTGCATCAATGAGGATGAGCTGGTAGAATTTCCCTCTGAACGAAAGTGCAGAGCCAACTCGTCCAAAACTAAAAAGATTTATTGGGTGTCTCGGGGTTGTGTTCTGAGGAGTGAAGAAGTGCCTGCTGAGGGGACACTCCGAGGAAAAAAGGACTGGTCATACATAACCTGGGTGAATTTAATGTGTCCTAGAAAATGGTATGTGAAGAATGCTGTCATGTTGAATACACAACCAAATCTCTTTCACCAAGACACTTGTTTTTGAGCATCTTAGTAGTCCTGTTACACCCTGAATGCTAGGAAGGCCAATTTGTACGTACCGCAATAAATCCCTGCAGACAATGGATGTTTATTTCACAAAACGTCTGCTCTCACTCGTCAAAAATGCGTAGCATTCATTTATTAGAAAATTCGTTTTCGCAAGGGTGTATGTATGTTTTTCACTATCAACAATGCTTTACTTCCCTTACAGGTTTTTTACGTATGGGAATTTTTCACTATGTGGTCATCTAAAACACTTAAACCAAGATTATTTACAGTATTATGTGAAGTCTGCAGTCAACACGGAGATACCTTACGAGCCAAGGTGGCTTGAACCAGTAAGTACAGTGCTCTAAACTTTAGATTGTTTTTCCTGTGTGATAACCCATGGGAAATGGCATTCAAACACATGACATGTATCAGCCAAATCTTTGTGGGCTACCTTACACAGCGATAAGGCTGTCACGCAACAGTAACACCTGTAGCAAGTGACTGGGATTATTATCACAAATTTACTAGTTCGGATATTATAACTCTGGGAAACTTTTGATCGAGTAAAGATCTGTGTACAAGGACGTCAGAAGAAAGTGCAAATTCTCTGCAAGTATGCATAATATGATAGTTTTTTTTCAATCTTCACAAGTAAACTCCAAGAAACTTTTTTCCCTAGATTTTCCTAAAACTGTGAAGTAGTTCCTATAGGTACTCTTTACAATTATTGGTTATTTTTCATTGGTGTGTGCATTCAGTAGGCACACGTGCATAAATACTTGTATGTGGATCTTGAATGTCACTTTTTTTGCAACGGCTGCAATGTCTAGCGGTGGCAGCAGTATTTTTCACCAGTGAGTGAGGTAATCTATTAATTCTCGGCGCACATGCACAGCGAGGGTTACGGTACTATGTATTTGTGTGTTTGTCTGTCACTCTGTCGGCTACCGTGTTTTCTGCCACTTCATGAAACAGTCCAACCAAAGAGCAACACCAATGAGTACGGTGCTCCACACTATTTGATTTGCCGATTTTCGTTGTATTACTGCGTTAAAAGGTTTCAGCACGAAAACTAAGTGAACATCTCTAAGTGCAAATTACTAGTGACTACCCTCGGCCGCATTCCGCCTGTTGAGTACTGACTGTGGAGGCATTAGAAGTTAAAACAGGGGCCGAGTGTTGAGTCTCGCGATACCTAATGTACTATCTATTGCTAGCCCCTGTCAAACGCTAAAGAGAGACTGAGACCACGTGTAATTGTACTGGGTAGCCCAACCCATTAATTGAACTGCACATGCATATGGGTGCAATGCATGCACTGCACACACATACGTGTCTCCGCAGTGTTTTTCTCAAGTGGTCATAAAGGCATTTATTAACCCTCGGCGCACATGCGCTACAGGGTTACAGTACTTGGTCGGTGTGTCTGTGTGTCCGTTCACGTTTTCTGCCACTAGGCGCAACAAGATCGCCGAATGTCTATGCCAATGGGTTCGGCGCTACATTTGCCTGCCTTTTCGTAAAAGTGCTGCGTTCAAAAGTTATGGCGTGAAAACCAAGTGAACAAGCCAATATGCAAATTAGCAGGGGCTTATATACCTCGACAAGATGTTCTTGCTCTGCGTACCTTGGAGGCACAAGACGTCACAACGAAGGGCATGTATCGACTCCCGCATGCTATCTACTACTGTAGCTAGCCCATGTCAGACTCTCCGCATGCTACTAGCGGGAGACCAAGCGCATACTACGGCCTAGCCTATCAATTAGCGGTATCGCGCAAGCGCAGTTCGCTCAGGATTTGCACTTAGTGCTTTCATTTTTTCCAGAATGGTGGTTATTACGCGAAGGGGAAGAGAAAGAGGGAAGGGGGGGGGAAGGAGAGGGAATGAAGAAGAGGGAAAGGAGGGAGGAATGGAAAGGGAGAAAGAGAAACATGAAGGGAAAGGGAAATAAAGAGAGGAAAAAGGAAAGGGGAGGGAGGAAGGGGGGAGGGAAAAAGGAAGAGGGAGGGAAAAAGGACACGGAAGGGGAAAAAAGGGGGGGAAGAAAAGGAAGCAAGAAGAAGGGGGGGGGGAGAAGGGGGGAAAAGGGAAGAAAGGAAAGAGGGAAAGGAGAAAGGAGGAAGGGATGGAGGAAAGAGGGGGGGAAGGGGGGAAGGAAAAGAAAGAAAGGGAGAAAGGAAAGGGGAGGGGAAAGGGAAGGGGGAGGGGGTGAAGGGGGGGAAGAAGAGGGCTGGAAGAAGTGGAGGGGGAAGGAAGGAAAGAGAGTGATAGAAAAAGAGGGAGGAAGTGAAAGGGGGGAAAAGGAGAAGGGGGAGAAGCAGCGGAGGAGAGAGGAAGGATCTAAATGTAAGGTTAAATTTAGGGTAAATATAAGGATAGTATTTATTAAATCTAACTTAAGTTATAAATTTATAAAAGTGTGCGTTCAAAGTTATGGCGTGAAAACCAAGTGAACAAGCCAATATGCAAATTAGCAGGGGCTTATATACCTCGACAAGATGTTCTTGCTCTGCGTACCTTGGAGGCACAAGACGTCACAACGAAGGGCATGTATCGACTCCCGCATGCTATCTACTACTGTAGCTAGCCCATGTCAGACTCTCCGCATGCTACTAGCGGGAGACCAAGCGCATACTACGGCCTAGCCTATCAATTAGCGGTATCGCGCAAGCGCAGTTCGCTCAGGATTTGCACTTTAGTGCTTTTCATTTTTCTCCAGCATTGGTGGTCATTACCGCGAACAGGCAAGGTAGTGATCACGCAGTCAGTATCACCAACATTGTTCGTGGTTTATTGATGTCAGTTAGAAATGTATAGCCATCAATCGTTGTACTACTAAATCACTTTTTTTATCGTACCATTCATTAATATTTACCTAGAAGTACGAGGAAGTGCACCGCTTGGCGTAGTATAGGCTTTCTGAGTGTGTCTCCAGTATATATCTCTAGCTCTTTGCATAATTATGGTAAAGAAGCTCTGTGCTTTTTGTATCACTCATTAACCCTCGGCACGCATGCACTGCGAGGGTTACTGTACATGGTCGGTAAGTTTGTCTGTCTGTCTGTCTGTCTGTTACCACATTTTCTGTAACCACGCGCAACGAGACAACGAAAGAGCGATACCAACAGGTTCATCGCTACACTGGGTTCATTTTTAAAAAGACGATTTTCGTATAACTACGGCGTTCAAAAGTTATGGCGTGAAAAGCAAGTTAACAAGCCAATGTGCTAATTAGTATTCGCTTACTTCTAGGAAGCGAGAAATAAACGCATGCGTGTGTTACACTGGCGGGTTGCGCACAATGATCACGTGTTCTTCGCCGTAAATGGCACCGTTGAGCGGCCATGGGTTTGAGGGCAGCACTCGAGGATATTTCTTGTCATTTCTGGTGCAAATACTTATTTGAGCTGGCAATCAGCACTCATCTACATTCCAAGCGTTGTAGGCAGTGGGGGCTGACCGATGGAGAGCGCGATAGACTCCTGAAGATGTCCGCAGTGTGACACAACAGTACTCGGCGGCGTGGAACCACGCATGTGACACATAGCCCAACACATCATGTACGTGGGTTCCACGCGCCGAGGTTTTGTACTTGAGTCTGCTTCATTGTAGTGCTTTTGTGTGCACTTCACGAGGGAATGTACTGTTGACCAGGGAAACAACACTGCACACACAGCTGGAAGATACTTTGTTGGAATATCATCCTTCTTGTCCCGTATGTTCTTATTTTTCAACAGTACTGTACGATATATCACGATGACTTACATTTTAGTAGATTGCAAATGCTAGTGATCAGGTGGTACGGGATCACGAAGAATCGTTCACAAAAACTACCTGTAACTTTCATTGTAACTTGTTCGTTTGTCTGGACTGTGTTAGCCAGGCGCAAATTGCATGACCACAGTATAGTGTAGAGTGGTTTTACGCATTGTTGTCTCTGACATTATCATATATGGAAGCTACTACTAGACAGGGGATCACCTCATAAGGCATTGATAAGTCTTCAGTTTGAAACAAGGAACTTTTATCGGGACTCGTTACTGTTTCAACAACCACGGCCTATTCAATCACTCTCAAGCGTGTCGTGCTGGTTTACGTGTGTAAGGATGAGGTAGTCATGTTTTTGGGTGTAGTTCCTTAACAATACTTAGTCCGAAGCTTAGGAGTGTTGCATTTGTAGTATGTGTAATTTTGAGTGGATAGATCCCATGTGACATTCAGATTTTTTGGAGTAAGTAGGATCATCCACGAGTCCCATTGTTCATATGTACTGCAGGTTGTCATGGGGCAGCCGGTGATTAGTATGTAGGGTACAATGCTGTCTACATCTTGCTCTAGGTGTCTGCCCATTTGTTACTAGTGTCTTCTGTTTTTATTATTAATTGCAGGGTTAAATGATGCCTACCATTCCGCTTATTGTCCTGTTTGGAGTAGAACTTCTTCGTGATGGCCTTCATCTCCTTTATACAGACGCTTATGAGAGGCAACATTGGGTCTCGAGTATACACTCAAACACTGGGTAAGGTGTAGCGTGTTTATCCATTCAATGCAGCCACTATTCTGCTTTATGTGAAGACATAATTTGTTCTGCATTGTTATGTAACAATGTGTGACCTTTACAAGATAGATGGGGATAACTCGCGGAAAATGCGATGAGCCAAGACCTTCCGACGCTCAGAGGCGGTGTTTGAGATCAGGACTGCTAACGTAGCGTGAAGCCCCTTCTATCTCCGTAGAGATGCAAGTTCTGCTCAGTCATCTCAGGAGGTGTGAGAGTCTTGTAAACTGTGTATGGATGGTCGGTATCACAGACTGTGAAGTAGAAAAACATGGTATAGCTTGGCAGCGTAGTACGAGAACGGTTGAATAGAGATGGGAGCGAGCATAATACAAGGAGGTGGGTAATCTGGAAAGGGATGGAGAATAATGATGGCCAAAGTAAAGATAGATATTGATGTTGTCTGGACGTGCCCATATATGAGCAGTTGGTGGTAACATATTGTTGAGAAGGTTTGTATTTGTAGGGTACATCAAAATACCTTGCAAAAGGAAGAGAAGAAAAATTTCTATTGTGTGCAGTTTTTGGACGCACTGCTTCGCACACTGTTTGTAGGTTCAATCGTCGATTCATTCTTCAAAAGCTCGGTTTGAGTATTGTGAACCCCCAAAGATGGACATTCTTGCGTGTGAGAACATTGCATTGTTGGGCATTTCTGGAATGAATAATGCGGTTAATATGACGAGAACCCAGAGAATCTTCTGTCTCCTGAACTGAGCTGGCATTGACTCTGTAACTGTTTTTACTAGACGGGGGTAGTCCTTAGTCACTCCTGAGACAAGAAACAACGTGGCCCAATCTCAATTCATTTGAGCAAAAATTGAATTTAGCTGGCTCAATTTTAGCACCACTTCAGGAGTTGTCAATGCACCAGTTGGAGATGCCTCAAGTGGTCACCCAGGGTTCTTGAGAAGACCAAGAGTCTATCAAATGTATACGCGACCATTCTCTGTGTGGAGACTGAAAATTACATGTGCCATCAGGGTTCAAATACCTCTTCGAGGTCACTTCTTACAGTGAGCA